TAGTACAGATTTTTCCCTCTCCGATCAAATTGCCGATATATATGTATGTATGGCCATACGTGCAAAAGCTGCAACATTGTACTTGAGTTTTCGGAGGAGAAGAAAATCTCCGTAAGTAACCTACTTAGGGTACACTGGCCGCTGCTTCCGAGTGCCCGGTGATCGGGTTGGGACAACTTGGGTCCGTACCGGCTCCGGCCTCAGGTTTCGACCCCTGGTACTACCGTTCCGGACACCTTCCCTCTATTGGGTCTTCAGGGGTATGACGTGGCGCGCTGTAATTGGCCCAAATTTAACACCGAACTTCATTTGGCTTGCTGGCGCTTTTTCCCGTCACGGCGTAAGGCATGCACTGCAGCTGACTGCAGCTGTACTAGGTATTACTAAATCAGTATTAGCCAGCAGGCTTGACGGCAGATGCATGAGGCACACCGTGTTGATCAATTTGTCAGAGAAGGCTGCAGCCTCAGGCAGGGTTTTGAGACTCAAGAGGGAGGCAGGAAACACTCTCGAAGCACAGAGCAGGTGCAGCTCTTGGGCTTCAATTGTCTGAGGCTGTCGATAGAGTTACTTTGCAGGAAAGCCGCAGCGCTTCCCAATTGTGCAGCAAAGATGGCGATGGCCGTGTCTGGTCCTGCTTCAAGGTTGCAAAATGCAATGCTGACAGGGCATGACGCAAGAGGGGGTCCAGATGGAAGTTGCAGGGTCACTGACAAAAAGATTCCCCGTCCTTGCCCAGCAACTCACAGGTGAAGCCCTTGTTTTTAGAGGCTGGGTTGACTGCCCCATAGCTTTTGGCCAACCAGATTTTTCTGGGTGGTTTTTCTAGGCCCAATTACAATATCGTTGTGAGCACGATGTATGCATGTGCCTTTCTGCAATCGGAGCCTCTTTGGAAGAATCGCTGTTGAGATTGTCACTTCAAAGGGAAGGGGCAATTCGAAACTGGACAAGCCAGTTGGGAATCTTCATCGCTGACGTGGCAACTGATTGTGCTCGCTTTCAGTGACTATGTTGTTTGATAATAGCGTCGTGTCTCTCCCATTAAATCAAAGCTTGCACAAAGAGATCTCTAGCTTAAAAGCTTCCTCTGGATATCCGTCCAATCCACACAAGCCATTGGAAACATTCCAAGCCTTCGCAGAGGATCAGAATGGCGAAAGAGAAGCCTTTAAACTGACGTGTTGAGCAAGGTGCAAACATCCAAGATTATTTCTGTGTATCAGTCATGCCAAGCGAAAAGGCCCTGTGAAGGCGGTGCGGTGCAATTTGGCACAGGCCCTGGAGACCGCCAGGCAAAAAGTGGGGCCTGCGGCTGCTGCCGTGCTAAGCGTTGCACTGTTGACATCTGGACAACCGCAGGTGCGTTTTGCCGTCCTTTGTTGTTTCTGGTCCTACTCCAATGTGTAATGTGTATACTCGTAGCTCCCCCTTTAGAAGAGGTGCTTCGCTTTCTGCCCATCGCACTTTCAGTATGTTGGGGGCATATACTGGCAATAGCAGGGATTCGAGTACAAGCGATAAAAAGATCATGCGGGCATCACTTCTAAGCGCGGCTTTGAGGCTGACCCACTCAACTGCTGAGAACGGATTCCCTCTTCCATAATTTGACAAATGACAACCCAGCAATCTGACGACTTATCTCACACGTTTACTAAAACCACTCAACTGGACCATAAGTGGAGTATGGAAAACTCGACCTTAAGTTTGGAGTTGCCTGAAAACATCGATGGTCAAAAGACCATCACCAACTTGTTGGTTGTGCAGATGGCCTTTGCAGAACAGTTTCGGGGCCCTGTAAATGTGTGCGACGTCGCGGAGGTGCCCCCTCTTGTGATACCCGGGCCCAAAACAGGGCCTCCTGGAGCGGAGGGCGAGCAGCTGATGATGCAAGGCATGACTGTCCCCGGGTTTGACCCTCGCCGCTACGCCGGGCGGTGGTACGAGGTGGCATCGCTGAAACAAGGTTTTGCGGGACAAGGCCAGGTATGGGCGTTTGCGTCTGCAGATTTGGACTTTTCAAGACAAGAGTCGTCCTTCAGGTTTGTGGAAGTCAAAAGCCGACCGTGCTCTACCGCACGCCAATCCTTCGAGAGCAGTTTGAACCGTCGACTAAATTACGTGCCTCCTCAACACCCCTGTTCGTCACACCCCCCCAACGTTGACGTCGATTTGTTTGTCTTTTTTGTTTCTAAATTGATGCTGACAACCCCAGCCGTCAGTCTGGGAGGACTGACGAAGAAGGATTCGTAGGGAGCTAGGTGGAGCTTGCTTGTTCTTCCCAACGAATCCGGAGTCCCCCATGCTATTTGGAAAAGAGAATTGTGATCGAAGGCCACTTCACCATCTGATTGGTTTTTGTAGTATCACCAGAAGTCCGAGATCGGCACGCAAGTCCCACGTTAGGCTGACCAGTGCGGAGAGAAACGAGGATGATTTCTTGGATACTTTTTGACGAAAGGTCCACTCAATTGTCTTGACGACGTCTACTTGTCTCTTCTCCTTCGAGTCACCTGCGAACCTTGTTTGCTCTTGCCGCTGATTGCTAGCCAGGGAGGATTCGTCTTTGTTCAGAGGACTGTAACTGAGGGGCTTCAGCACGGCGTTGTCCTTTTGGATCGTATCTGGTTCTGCACGCATATCGCCTTCCAATACCCCAGAACTCGTACAAGGACTCGAAATGCACCCGCCGCTTCTTGACGAAGGTGAAGCATCCTATCTTTCATCAGTTCTGGTGACGTATGATCCAATTAAGGCCGATGCATTTTCACCAACAGTATGGCCACGAGAACCACTCCCAACCAACGGACAGTATGGCCACCAAAATCACTCTTGACAGATGTCCAATTAAGCTGGAAGCGAATCCTTTCTCCGTCCCGCAGGAGGACTGTCACTGTACGCAGGGCGTCTACTCCTTCGACGAGGCGAGGCGACAGATCAACGTCGACACGTTCTGTGTCCACGGGTCCCCAACCGGGTACACGACCGGGATACGGGGGACCGTAAGCTGCGTCAAGGTGAGAGTCCCTGCTGAACGCTCCTTATTAATCATTACATACATACATATGAGTTCAGTTGTGATGTTGTTTGGAAGCTCCACATTTCGAAGCGGGCTGCCGAATCCGGTTTTAAATGGATGAGAGGAGCAGCATGCGTCCAGAGTGGACCCACGTGTCCACAGTACTCGGCAGGCGACACGTGGCAGGCTCCTGATCCATGCTTACTACGGTGATAAAGTAAAAGGGGTGCGTTCGGTATGGTCATTTCTTCCTTGGGTGTGGTCATTTGTTCCTTGGAGATGACAAGTGAAGGATGCGCACACGGCTTGTGTTGACAATCAGAGCAGATCGGGATTGAGTGGTCACTAGAAGTTTGTCAGGAGCAACCAAGCCCCTCTCAGCGGAATACTAAATGCGGCGGAGGATGACGAGACGGCACGTTCCACAAGCTGAAAATGATGAGAGCGATGGCGAGGTGTCTGAATACACGTCCTGTCTTTGCTTGCTCTTGCGGGTGACTTGAGAGAGTCACCTTCGCTCTGAATAGCGACGTTGCGAGGAGACTAACACAACAACCTCGCAAAGTTGAAAAGCGTAATTTGAACTGAACTTGACGCTACTTCTCACTACCATGAGAGCCTACGGTCGACTCGCTCCCGAGAGCGAACATGAGTTGCCCCGACTCGAAAATACTTCGTTTTAACAATGTATCGCTTATCACCCGGTCGCAGTCTGAACAGATCAGCCCAAAGAGAGTTCCATGAGCCTCGGGCGAATGGTGCGACCAGCTCAAACTAAAGGTGAGCCCCCATGACTTCCTGCGAAATCAGGGCCCCGGTGAAAGGCAGACTGTACATTCAGAACTGCTTCAGTAACCGTTTGAATTCCTTTGTCAGCCTGAGGAGTTACGGAAGCTGCAAAAGGTCGACGACGACGACGAGCCGGGGCTGGTCGGGAAGTGCTTCCTCCGGTTCCCGAGCATCCCGTTCATCCCCCGGGCGCCCTATGACGTCATCGCCACCGACTACGACAACTTCGCGATCGTGTCGGGCGCTAAGGGCACCACGTTTGTACAGGTGAGGGTTTCGGAAATAGACCGGTGTAAGCTTACTTGAGCAGAAGTCGCCTGCTTAGCGGAGCTTGTGGCTGGACATAACCGGGGATGTTTCATTCGGTCAGTTTAGCAGGCTTGTGATCGATTCGGGTGACGTCAGCGGCACGTCAGGCTGAGCGGATGCGTGCCGCAGGCCAGGTTGCCCGTAAAAGATCTGCTTCTTGCTTTGTTTTGTCGGAAACATATGTTCTCACATAAGACCGTCTCCTCAGCAACCTCATGAGTGTGCTGGACGTACGCTCGTCATTGCCCACTCCCCGAACTTCTTCATCGGCAGGTCTACTCACGAACCCCCAATCCGGGCGACGACTTCATCCGAGAAAAGAAGGAGCTGCTGGGGTTAATAGGCTATAACGTCGAAGCCATACGGGACACCCCGCAAGACTGCGAGGAGACTACTACCGAGCAGCTAGAACAGCTTATGAAGGGCCCGGGGATGGAGGATGCGATGACGAACCGGTTCCCGATTGCTGACGTTGCGGAGAGCGGCAACAAGAGCATCACTTTGAACGCGCCGAGAGATACGGTCAAAGCCGTGGTTGAGTTGTTCAGAGGCTTCGGCAAAGGGATATGGAATTGAGGCCACAAAACATAAGAGATCACTACAATTTTGGCTCTTTATGCGGCCTTAGCTCAAGGCCGGAATAAGGTCGTCAAAAAGCGAGCGGGAATCCCCCGAGTTGACGTTGGCTGACTTGAAGTACGGTATGCCGGAGATCCTGTTCTAGATCAGGATTTGCCTGCGCGTTTGTAGAGAAATCAACTTTCAGATTGAACAATTTTCTGCGGCACTATTTAGCCGCGGTTGCATGGCATGAAACATGCCCTGTACATTACGTACTAGGTTTAAGAGTATAAAATAGACAATATGCGGGTTGTACAAAAATCATCGAAGCGCCCTTTATAGTGCAAGTGCATTGCGACTGAAGATACAGACCGTGATTCTGGTACAATTTGACCAAATTTTGCATTGTACAATCCTTTCTATTATTGATAGAGTATGGCTATTACGCGTGGGGTCATGTTGGATATCTGATCGACATGATTGATCCATGCTATGGAATCGCACTAGATCATTTTGCGGAAACTTACAGTAGCTCTTGATTTATGAACCGGGTCCATTGGCAAGAGCTTGGATCGAGATAGCATGCTATAGTATCTTGCGATAAAACATGATTGATGAACGCCGTCAGGGCAAGTGACGAAGTCTGAAGCGCATCTGATTGCTGACTAGACTTACTCGCGTTGGTTCAAACTTAGTCGTGTGTAGATACTTCTCAACGGGCCTTCCATGCAAGTTGCTGTATCATTGGGAAGAAGCATACATTGTCGAAAACTTGGATTCGACAAATTTCAATGACTGTGCATGGTACAAGGGTTCTTTGCAGATCATACTTAATCTCTATACTGGGAGGGGCCGACAAATCTTTTTGTGGGCCTTCCAGTCGTTCTTTTGACATTCCGCTGCAAGATCCGCACGGAAACGTGTCCGTGACGATGAGGAATTGTCTAAGCAAGTAATCGCATACGCAAATTCTCGAGCTACGAGCTCAAAGAATCCAAAATCTTGGTCCTCAACAACGATTGCTGTCCTCGGCCGTCATATCTCAAAAGCAATAGCCCACATTATCTGATGGATGGACTCCGGAAAGCATTGCATTGATCTTTGAGATATTATCCGCGGTCGACGTCCTTGTCCTCGAAGCCTCTGTCAACGAAGAAACGAAGACAAAAATTCCGAGGAAGAAGACGGGGACTTCTTACGCAGAAACCCTTGGCCCAATCACAATAACTGCCACCTTCAAAACTTACATGGTCCTACAAAGTCAGCACGACTTACCCGAACAGTATTTGACCCGCTTGCATTTACTGCAAACCTTGAATTTCGTGCCCTCCGCTTCCGTCTTTGCGCACGCTCCGCACGTGATGTTGAAGTCGGGCCGTACCACGTCACCCGTCGTTTGACGTCCGATGTCCGAGAACACGTTACTCCGGGCGGACTTTCTAGCGGCGGCGACGCACTCGATCGCCGTGTCAATCTGCAGGAAGCGAGGAGAAACGAAAGGTTCCAGGACTTGGCATTGTATAGAACCCGTGCGAAAGAGCGCGTCGAGTGAGGAAGACTTAGAACGAAAGCTCGAGCAATAGCAAAGCGGACGGAAGTCAATCCCAAGGGCGACTTTGCATGCTTCACAAAGACGTCGATTTTGGTCCATATTCGTTCGTTTCTTTACTCTACTCTGCTCATCACGATCCTTTTCGGCCAATGTAGGCAATCAGTGCAGCACTCGCATCCTGCTTGACACTTGCGATGGCGAGACAATCAAGCTCTGCATGTTCTTACAAATCCCTTGCGTTGAGATACTGGATCCAAATCAGGAGTCCAAGCGACACTCGGTAGAACCACAAGAAGTCTTTTCAGCGACTCACTTATTTGGTGACTTGGTGATACGGCCCAATGCTTGTAACAGCCTGCGCTCTGATCACGTCAAGAAGGCTTTTGGCCTCGTCTAGCCGATCGGCCTTCATCAGTGCGTGCCCGTAGGTGCATTTCGCCACCAACGTTTGAAGATGCATGGGGCCGAACGCGCGTTCCTGTGCTTTCGATGCGGATTGGCAGACCGTGCATGCCTGACTCGTGCGACCAAGTCGCATCAACGTCTGCACGCAATCAGAAAGTGTTGTCGGTATCAGAATTGCAAATCCGATCAATGAAGAATCTGGGGACTCAAACTTTCTCACGCAAAGGTTGCGCAAGGGCTGCACGATGAGGTCGCGCCCAAAAACAGCTAATCGTCTGATTGGAAACGGTAGCTGGGAGTAAGATCTTAGCTTCTCCAGACGAAGATGTGAGGGACAGGCGCAGTCGACAGCGCAACCATAGGACCCGAGATCAACGAGGTAGGTCCGAACTCGATAAGTCGCTCACATCAGCTTCAGAGCAACAAGCGCTATTCCTTCACGCCAGGCTGATCCTTCCCTGCGCATTCCATCAATCTGCATTCGAAATCTCAAATCGAAGGCTCTGTTTATTTAGTAGCCCAAATCGCAGCGTTCGGACCCTCACCCGTCCGTAGTCGTTCATGTAGACCGCCATGTCCGGGTTTTGCTGCTCGTACGGCATGCTGAACGCCCGCTCAAAAAACGGCAGGGCCTCTTGGTCGCGCCCTTGGTGAAAGCGGATGCGCCCCATGAACGCCAGCATATGCGCTTGCAGGTGTTGCTGTTTGACGGTCCGGTACGCTGAAAAGGACATTAAGAAGTGTGAGCAATCTTGAGTTCGGAGGAGTGTCAAGAAGATGCAAAGTGTTGAAGTCAGAGGGACCATGGAGCAACTGATGACACACACGAGAAGATTGATTACTTTACCGCCTGCAAACTGGACATCTCCCGAACTTAGACTGTATTAGGAGACGCCGGCTTGCTTCAGTGCTCGTGGCTCCTTCACAAAAAGGCAAACAATCTGGACGCATTTCCCTCTGAAGTTGAAAGCAGAAGGGAGTTGCGAGACGAAACAAGTAACAAACTGTTCAAGCTCGGCTGCGCTCCGATCATAGCTTCCAACTTGTCATGCGGGAGACGTGTAAAGTTTGGACACAAAAAAATCAAAGGTGTGTGTGTAAACAGCTCACCAGGATGACCTAGAAAAGCGGCAGTGGGATTCCCAGAAGTGCTCTCCGCATAGTTTGGCTCTCGAACCTTGCAGGCGATGGAGTAGCCCCGCTGGAGGCAGTCGTACGCCTTGTCGATTTTTCTAGTCGATGAAAAAGGAAGGCGATTCGGAATAGGTAGATTGAAAAAACATGACGATTCGGAGTAGAAATACTCTGCGAAAGTAGTAGACATATTCAAACACATTCCAGGTTGTATGGCTAGGCTGTTGAAATCGTAAGCTTGGTCCAGAATTAGGTCGACAGCCTGTTACAGGGTCAAAGCTCGGTCAAAAATGGGTCCTCCACCACATAAGCAACTCCATCGAAGACACAAGAGAAGGTTCAGATGTTTCGAT